CCTGGATTTATTGATTTTTTTGAAGGGTTTTTTGTGTCTCTATCTCCTTCAGTTCTGCTTTGATCTTAGTTACTTTTTGTCTTCTGCTACGTTTTGAGTTTTTTTGATCTTGCTCCTCTAACTCTTTCAATTTTGATGATAGGGTGTCAATTTTAGATCTCTCCTTGCTTCTCATGTGGGCATTTATTGCTATATATATTTTCCTCTAGACACTGCTTTAAATGTGTCCCAGAGATTCTGGTACGTTGTCTCTACGTTCTCGTTGGTTTTGAAGAACATCTTTATTTCTGCCTTCATTTCATTGTTTATCCAGTCAACATTCAAGAGCCAGTTGTTCAGTTTCCATGAAGATGTGCAGTTCTGAGTTAGTTTCTGAATTCTGAGTTCTACCTTAATTGTGATCTGAGAGACTGTTTGTTATGATTTCTGTTCTTCTGCATTTGCTGAGGAATTATGTTGTCAATTTTAGAGTAGGTGCGATGTGATGCTATGAAGAATGTATATTCTGTGGATTTGGGGTGGAGAGTTCTGTAAATGTCTATTAGGTTTGCTTGGTCCAGGTCTGAGTTCAAGTCCTAGATATCCTTGTTAATTTTCTGTCTCGTTAATCTGTCTAATATTGACAGTGGGGTGTTAAAGTCTCCCACTATTATTGTGTGGGAGTCTAAGTCAAGTTCTTAATGACTTACAAACAGACTACCATCTTATTGCAATTGCCTGACAAGACTCTAGGCCAGAACCACTCAGCCAAGGTGTTTTGAATTTCCAATGCACCAAGACCATAAGGGATAATAAATCATCATCATTTTAAAAACATTAAAATTGTTGTTTTAAAAGAAATTTGTGATTTGTTCTGCAATCAATAACTAATACACTGCCATTTAGTTGATTTGGGAAGATTAGACAGTACATTTAAAACTTTGTTTAGAGTAGGTTCTCAATAAAAGATGTTTATTAACAGCTATACATGCTATCTGCATTTATAGCCCTTCCATCCTCTGCCCCCAACAATTTTTAATAAATTTTATAAAGAAAAAATGTTTATCCTCTGTAATTTTTTACTGTATTGAAATTATCTGCCATACATAATTTTTGTAAAGGATATAAAACATCTGGTGAAGAAAGCTGCAAACCTTTTACTAGTGCCCTTCTTAGTATATCTGGAAAACTGAACTAGGCTGAATAAATTATGCCTCCATTTATTTTTTTACTAATTATTCCAGATACTCTAAATTTATACAGGAAGAATTTTTGTTATTGAGGTGAGGAATATTACAATTATAGCAGCACAACCAAATAGAATTTATTAGGATATTCTAAACAGTAAAAATTCTATGTCATGGCATTCTATAATTAGTAATCTTTTAGGGGGCATAATGGACCATACACTGATGTATATGCTACAGGTGTATTTAGCTGGTGGAAAGAAATTCCTTATGGTCAGAGACGCTTGAAAGAGTGCTGACTTGCCCTGGAGCTTAGTTGGGCCTTGAGAGGAGACGCAAACCTGTATGCATTGGCCATTCTAAACAGAGCTAAAGCCAACTGAAACCATCCCACATAAAAAAAAATAGAATTGGAGCTTTTGCTCCTGAGAATGAGGAAACAGAAACTTTGGAAAATTAGACTGTGTATATCTGTGCTATGCTATTTCCTTCCATCTGAACAAATATCAGTGAAGTCTGCTGTATATTCCAATTATCACCAAGGTATTTTGTCAATTTCAGACATGAAAAATGATTTGAAAGGGACTTTATCTTAAAGATGGGAAGGAAGAACCTTCATTTACCTCTTAAATGTCATTTAGTTGCTCAGCACCAAGGAAACATTCCCTGTCTACTCTTTGAAGACAGCTGAACTCTGTAGAAAATTATGGCATTCTGATTTAATTAGCAAAAAATACCATATTTCCAGCTATACTAACAAATAGGAACAGCAAAGTAATTAAGACTAAAGCATTGCATACTTCAGGTCAACTTAAAATCCTGTTCTGAATGAAGTTGGAATGATGGTGTTTTTCACAAACATCGCTACTTCTGTTTCAAATTAGGAACTGGCAACTCAGTGATAAGCTGATATATACACTCAATAGTTGTGTAAAGACACACGATTTCTATGGAGGAAGTAGCCATATTGATTACATTTTTCAGCAAAGTGCAGTGTTGGCATTATAATCTATCTCATGTGCAGGAAAAGCCATGTTTTACTTGAGTTATCACAGTTTAAAACTGTTGGAAGGACTTCGTAGTTTTGTATTTCTAGGGTTCCTTCATAGTATAGTTGGAGCTACAATTAGAAATAGCATGCAGAGTTAAAAATTTTTGCTTTGAAATTTCATACAACTAAAACCGAATGCTAGCTCAGCAATTAACTAGTTAGGTGAACTTGATTAAGTTCCTTAACTGTTCCAAGCCATGGTTGATTTTGTTCTGTCAAATGTGGACAATAATAGTACCTACCCATGAAATTATGCTGAGGATTAAAAGGGGTGATTCATGCTCATGATCCAAAGTAAGGACTCAGTAAACATTACCTACTAATTTCTATACAAGGTCATAGTTATATACTATCAGAATGTGGAGCCAATTTCTCCTAATGACTAATACAACTGAAAATCATTGGAGCATTTTATACTTTCAAAGTGTTGTTACATGATTTATCATTTTAAACTTCCCGCCAACCCCTAGATATGGTTTTGCTGTATTCCCACCCACATCTCATCTTGAATTGTAACCCCCACAATTCCCACATGCCATGGGAGGAACGAAGTGGGAGGTGATTGAATTATAGGGGCAGGTCTTTTCTGCACTGTACTTGTGATAGTGAATAAGTCTCACGAGAACTGATGGTTTTAAACATGGGAGTTCTCCTGCACAAGCTCTTTCTCTGCCTGCTGCCATTCATGTAAGATGTGACTTGCTCTTTCTTACCTTGTTCTATCCAAGCTGGAGTGCTAGATTTGAAATAACAGCAGGGCAACAGATAGAGCAATAGTTAGAGAAAAGGTTTTGCAAACCTCAATGGGCCTAAGATACACATGCGAAATAAAACTTTACCTTTTTTTTTTTTCTTAAGAGTATAAGCCTTTTTCAACTACACATTTTGCTTTTCTTGAGTTTGCTTTATTGTGGGGTCAGCTCATTTACTGACTTTTGTCTGCTTCACCATGAATATTTCATCTTAAACAATGGGCTGATTTTCAAAAAGATCTATGTAAAGAGCAGAGTTTAAAAGGCACAAAGTCAAGGGTCCTTGAGAAATTTTGAGTACAACAGTCAAGTAACAAGGGCACTGGAAGCTACAATTAAGTAGACTTGAAGAACCATAAATAGTGGATGTGAATAGCAGCCCGAGAGTGTTGTCTATCTTAGAATTGTGTCTGCAAAGCATTGAAGATTTTTCCACAGATTTTCTACCTCAGTTACATGGCACATGGGTCTTGTGCTTTTTTATATGCTTTTATAATGCTGTAATGTCCATGATTCACAGAATATTTATAAGGGTATAGGTACTGCTTCCAAACAGTTAGGCTCCCTTTGTATGACAGCAATGCTTAAAGTGACTAATTGCATATCTTATTTATTCTTGGATTTTTCAACAATTAGTTACCATTTATGGACCAAGGCAAATTTTGAAATAGTTTTATATACTTGTACAGAGATAGTGATATCACATGATGCATTACCAGTATCTCTCACATATGCACTCCAAGGACCTCCCACATAAGTCTACATTAAGAGTGAAGTCTGTTGCTGGCTACAGTTACAATCTTCAAGAGAATGAACAGGGACAATGATGGTCATTGAAAACCTTTATATAACCCAGCCTTGTTATACTAAAAAGAAATTTCAGTGTAATAGTCACAGACAAAGAATTTTACATTGTCAAAGAAATTTCCCATTATAGAAAGCGGTGCCAGGCTCCAGCATCCTTCCCGAGCCAATGACACATCAATCTTGATTCCTCTGTGATATCATCTACCAAGTTGTTAAGGTCTTGTCCATTGTGATTCCAAAATATATTCTGAAGCAATAGCGCTCGTTCACCATCTGCACTGCTGATGGGCTTGCCTAAACGCCATCATTGCTAGCCTGGTTTGCCTTAACCTGGTGTCTTCATTGATTGCCACCTGACTGCTATCCATTCTCTGTATAGTGCTAACATTTAAACCCATGCTCTTTATCATGGCTTGCCTGCTTTTTGGAGTCTTGTCCCTGTCTTGCTCTCTGACTTTATCTAATATTTGCCCCAGCTATTCTGGGCTTTTTTCTCTTTGAAAATTTGACATCTTATTGCTTGGTAGTTCTCATCATTTCTGTACCTTTGCATGGCTGGTGCTTCTGCGCATGTTGGTCTCTTCTCAACAGCACCTTCCTCAAAGACCTACTCTGGCCTTCTTTGCAAAGTCATGTGTTGCTTTATGACTGGGTTACAAGAAATGTACCATCAGATGATTTTTGTCATTGTGTGACCATCATAAAGTGTACTAACACAAACCTAGATGAAAGAGCCTACTACACACCTAAGCTATGTGGTATGTGGCCTGTTGTTCCTAGGCTACAAACCTGCATAGCATGTTACTGTATAGAATACTATAGGCAATTGTAATACAGTGGTATTTGTATTTCTTACAGTATCTAAACATAGAAAAGATACAGAAGTACTGTATTATATCATATGGGACTACCATCATGCATGTGGTCTATTGACTGAAAAGTTACATGGTGCATGGCTATAATTTCTCCCAAGGCATTATACATTACTGTTTAACTTTTGTCCTCACATTTGTCATCTGGCTTTATCTTGGTAATTTTACTTGTTACTATGTCTGATATCTAGAGTATAACCTTTTTGAAAGAAGGGAGTCTGTCCTGTTCACTTGTTTACAGATCAGTGCTGGATACTGTTCATAGCATGCAATAAACAAATTTTTTGGATGATTGAAAGGGACTATGAGATAAGATGCAATAAGAAAAAAGAATTTTATGAATATGAATAAGTTTTCAGCAAAGTATAATGAAATATTTATTAAGGAAGTAAAAATCTGATTGCAAGCCTTAACAAAAGACAGGGTTAGTTGAGCTTAGCTTCTTGATGAGAGGTGTGAAATGCAAACATTGAAAATACAAACACATTTTTAATAATTAATGATCATTAATGTCCTCTAATCAGGGCAGAACTTATTAGTTAAACAAATAGTTATCTTTCAGAATTAAAACATAAATAGAAAGATAGTTCATATCTTTATTTTTTTCTCTATTATTTTGAAACAGGAAAGAATGTTCCATATGTGAAAGTGAGTATGCAAATAGATGCACCTATTGGCAAATAAGCTGAACATCCTTATAAAATATCAGAAGACATTTAGAAGCATTCCACAACCTAAGTGCTGTTACTCCAGAGTCCAAAAGCCCTAAATTATATATAAGTTGTTGTCTTGGTTGTCCCTACTCATGAAGCCATTTCTTAATCTGAAATTTTAGAAATGCTGGCTCAATGGAAAGAATTTCACATTTGTCTCTTGTTTTTATTGTTTTGGAAATCTCAGTTGGTTTTGAATATCCGTAACGTTCTGTATTTGAACACAGTAAGTAAGCCAAGAGTTGATAGATTTGGGAGGTGGACTCTTGCAATAGGTGACTGTATCTTGCAGGGTCAAACAAACTTTGATTCATACATCAGTCATGTACTGGTGCTCTGACCAGGTTATTTCATTTCTGCAAGCCTTAGTTTCTCACCTAATGAAGAGTAACACATATTACAAGGTTATTGTAAAAATTAAATGAGATCATGGCTGTCTAACACAATGTCTGGTATATTGTCATTTCCATCCACTTTTACTCAGTTCTGACACTTACCAGCAACGGGACCTTGTCAATGCACTTATCAGGGTTTCAGTTTTACACTTTCAAATGAGAGAATAATAGCCTGCATGTTCTTAAGAGGATTTTAAAAATCTAAGTGCCTTACATGTACAAGTGATGAGCCTGATCATTCAGATGGAAATGATATGTTTGCTTCCATGTCTCTGATCACCCCTTCACATTAATTTATATTTTATTTCATCTGTTTTCCCATGCATAAGTGCTAATGTTAGATGCTTTCTTGAGAAAGCCATGTCTATATTTCAGACATGTCAAGTGCTAAGTTTGTTTAAATCTCAGCATCCACAGCATGTTACATAATGTAGGAGGCAATGGTGGTCCTCTAGGTAATATCCTTAAGAGATTCATACCAAGAGTTTTGAATTTTCTAAATAAAATATTTTTAAAATGTTTTAAATTTAATTTCTAAATAAAACATCACTTTTAAAAGGTTTTTAGTATTTCTCTGTATTTGAAAAGGCAATTTCAGAAACAGAACACTTGTACACCAGAAACACTCTTGCTTCCTCAAGTTCAGCCCACTTACCTACTCCTACATGAGAACTCAGGGACCGAGAGATAGAAATGGATGTTCCCTCCCCATTTAAAAATCTCCTTACTTCAGTTTCACTTCTGCAGTATACTAGAGCCCAACTTTACTGGATTCTTTTCACATTTTGTCAAGTAAGACTAAAACATAGATAAATAAATACGCAGTTGAAAATGCATTTGTATTTTAATCGAGAACTGTGTGTTCAGGAATTATCGCTCCTGCAAACAGAGATAGTCATCGATCATAAGTGCTCCTTTGTATCTGCAGCTACTTATTACAGAGAAAAGAAGTATCTCTGGATTCTGAGAAATTTGCTGTCAGAAATACTGCATGGAACTCCTTTCCTTTTTTAATTTCCTGCTAGCCTCCGAAAGGAGAAATGAGGTAGGAGGGATGCTTTTTTCTTCTGCTGAGACCTGAAAATAGAGAGGAATAGACATTAATCTGTAACCCTGTCATTTAAATCAATACTCTGGAAATGATATTAGTCATTACTTTTATTGTTTAGTATTAAAAATCATAGCAAGATGGGTATAATAATAAATGAATATATGTTTATGAGTGTAGATAGGTTTTTGTGTGTGTATAATTTGATTCATACAAAACCTCTTACATTTTAATTGTGAATCAGAGAGCAAGACGCTTAGGACAGGAACCCAGGGCTTCTGCCTCCTACATCAGTTCCATATTCTTTATTTAAAAATCAGATATTTGGTTAAAATAATACAAATTTGAGGGACCTGAATAACTGTATGTATGCATACGTGTACACACACAGATAGCACAAGGAAATTTTTCACATGTAATCAAGATGTTGATTTACCTTTTGCAATTTTTAAACAATAGTTTTAGTATTTAAAACAGACCTACCTTCAACCTGTATTTTCCATATTAAAATTATCAACTTTGAGAAATGAGCAACAATTTAAATCCCCAACCAGCATAAACTAGATGGTGAGACAAAGGTCATCTGCAAGTTGTACTCTAAATGTTAAATCTTTCCATGTGCTTCTATTTTTATTTCACATAATAGGTAAATATCATGGTAGGAATATTTTCATTTTTTATCATTCCTTGTAAGTATGAGAGAAGAATACAGTGATAACTTAGCAAAACATAGCATCTGTATCTAACTGTGTAGGTTTCTAATATCCCACAAACACTTTAGTTAACTGTCTCCACATTCTTCTCATATTAAATTATGAAATCAAGAACTAAGCAGAAGAACATTTCACTGGAAGGCTGATCTCAAACAGAAGCAATTCCTACATCTACACCATCCAGAGCATGTCCAGTCTCAAATGAACACTTAAAAGTCTTCATCCTTCAGTATTTATTTGGAAGACATGAGAAATGAGCAACCAAGTTTTACAGCCTTGGAGATAGGGAGTGTCTTTTAAGGGTTAAGAGTATGACATTTAGAGTTAAGGAAACCTAGGTTTATATTCAAACTTTCCTACATGAGCTTAAGCAACCCTTTAGTCCTCATTCTCTTCATCCATAGGATGAAAATAATTGATCTATCTTGTTGGATATGTTTTGTAAGGGTTATAAATTAATATATATTCAACATACTAATAGGGAGATAAAAGCTAAAACCACAATGAGATATCCCCTGTTGGGAAGGTTATTACCAAAATGACAAAAGATAATCTTTTACGTATGTCCAGGATGTGAGAAAAGAGAACCCTTGTACACTGTTGGTGGGAATATAAATTAGTACAGCCAGTATGGAAAAGAGGATGAAGGTTCCTCAAACTAATAACATAGCTGCTACCTGTATATGATCCAGCAGTTTCATTTCCAAGGGTTAAATGCACAAAGGAAATGAAATTAGTATCTCAAACACATGCTGCACTTCCATGTTTATCACAGTCTTATTCGCAATCGACAAGATATGGAAGCAACCTCAGTTTTCATCAGTAGGTAAATGGATAAAGAAAACAAACATAATGTATATACACAAGGAAATACCAAGCAGCTGTAAAAATGAAGGAATTACTGTCATTTGTAACACAGATTAGCCTAGAGAATGTTGTATTAAATAAGCCAGGCATGGAAAGACAAATACTTCATGATCTCATACATGAAATCCAAAAAGATGAAATCATGAAAGCAGACAGTAAAATGGTAGTTTTCAGGAGTAAGGGGTAGGAAATGGGGAGATTTTCGTGAAAGACTAAAAAGTTTTAGAGAAGATAAATAAGTTCAGGGGATGTATTGCATAGCATTGTGACTACAATAATAATGTATACTTAAATTGTTGAGAGCAAATCTTAAATGTTCTTGCCGCAAAAGTTTGTTAGGTGATGAATTTGTTAATTGAGCTAATCATTGCATAATGTATATAGATATATATCAAAACATCACATTGTATGCCATGAATACATATAAATTCAATGTGTTGTTAAACCTTAATAGAAGTGAGAAAACTTAAAAAATATATAACACTTTGACTAGTATCTTGGTCACTCTTGATAGTACTTAGTAATCATAATTTTGTACTTGATAGTACTTAGTAATCAAGTAATCTTGACATGGTCACTCTTGCTAGTACTTAGTAATCATAATCATATTATCTGTGCTTCCTTTGATACTGTTTACCTTCTGCCCACTACTCATTCAGTGAATATTTATTGGGTACCAACTATGTAAGAAGCTAAGTCCTAGATCACAAAAGCACATATCTGTGCTTATGTGATTTTGTAATCACTCTATTTGTATTAATGTATTACTCATAGTTTTTATTATGTATTCTCTACATTTTCTATTTATTACTTTAGTTATGCCATTATTCCAATAGTTTCAGAAATAAATGTAAAGTTTTGACTGATAAATGATTCAAAGGAGAGCAGATCGATGCTATGAGGACCTTGTTTTCCATATTGAGGAGTAGAGCTGCTACACAGCTATTATCCAGATTCTCAAGACTAGAAAGAATTGAAAACACACCCAATTAAACAAGTTTGTGTTTGTATGTTATTCTCTTTAATTATTCTCCTCTGTACATTTTCTATCATTTAGTCTAATTAAAGTCTATTCTCTCCGTTCCTTGTCACTTTCTCAACTTACTATAAGATAAATAATTATGAACAAAAATAAGGTGGGGATACAAATGGGAAAACAATATAGTAATATCTTGTTAATCCAATGCTAGTTCATTCAAAATAACATTCAAATCGAATCAACAGTTATTCCCCAAATAGATATGGTTTTCTCATTAAAATTGTTCACTTAATACAAAGCACGCATTATGAATTCTTTAAGGCAGAAATTAGATCCCAAGAGGACCTTGCATTATTAAAGAGGTAAAATAATTCCAAGAGTTGCCATGAAACAGCTGTATATCAGCTACAAGTAAAACCATATCTGTGGACCACTGTGATTACTTAAGACTGCAGGATTTGGTTCATAGACAATCATTCATTCACCTCTCCTCTTTAAAACAAATATTCGGGACTACTTTTTAAAATCTGCAACATTTTTCATAGGAACGACTTCCCTGCTTTTTATAGCATTCAGTGTCTGCTACAGAATTATATAACTTTAATAATTAACAATAAATTGAAGTTCTTCCTCAACTGTGATCTAATCTTTCAGTGAGACACTTTTTTATGATCTGCTTGAATTTCTAAACACTGAAGATTTTCCACTGTGATTGCTATGAGTGTACTTGGAGGAAAGCACTGGAAGATACAGGACTGCATTTTTAAGAGGGACATTTCTTCCTCTTTGCTGTCTTTGAAATGGAGCTACTGTAATCTGATGCTCAGGTCTCTGATGTTTGTTTCCAGACTTAATACAATTTTAATGTTTAAGAACCTCAGGATGATTCGATTAGAAGTGTTATAAAAGCACAAATTATTAGGATTGTTCAAAATGTTAATTGCATCATCTCATTAAAAAAGAAAACCTTGTTTTAGTAGGAATCCCTGGGGGTATGGATGGTATTTCTCTTTTACAACTGTTAAACAAGCCAAAGGTCGACAGTACAGTAAGCATGCTTTGAGCTATCAGGGAATGATTTTATATATGACCCCCTCCGCTCTAGGAACTGTTGAGAACAATTATTCCCTGCTGTGGCCCAAGCTGTGTCAATATGAAAATACATTTGGGAAATGTGTAAATCATTAGAAAAGGTTTACGGTATTTCATCCCCCTAAGGATAAAATATAACATGCTATGTCACCATGGTGATTTATGACTCTTGAATTTCCTTGGGATAGATAAATCATGTGCAGTTTAACATCCTATACTCTTTAAATTAACCAGCATCACTATCTCCCCATGATCTATTTGCATCATAGAGAGGGGTAGATCTGAAGATTACATCACAAAAGCATGTGACAGCAGAATCTGTGTTTTATAGTAATACATATAACTACAATTTCATGAAAAGCCAATTCAATTCATAGAAAAGGTATGACAGCATTAGCTTTGCCATTATACTAAAACAAGCATAGTTTCAACACATTTTTTATTATTCTTATGCACAATTTCCTAGATGCAAACAGGAAACAGATATCTAAGACATGACCCCTGTTTTCAAAAACATAGAACTAAAAATCTTTATAAATTTATCTTACTCTCTAATTTCAGGTCCACCAAACCAGAGTGAAAAACAAGGAAACTAGCAAACATATAAGAAACCTCTGTCTTCCTCCTAGATTTTCTCTTAAAACAGAGCTAATGTTTACGGACTTAAGAGCTAGTAAACCCTATTTTATGCCAGACAGCCAGCTGCAAACTCCTCCTCCTCTTTAAATATATTTCAAAAGCCAAAAGAAGTGAAGAATCGGCTAAAGCACCCCTGGGAGAATCCTGGTGCTGCTCACAGTGTTGATGTCTTTAAGAGAGATCCTGGAACTGTTTCTGTTTCTGTACAAGGAAAGGAGGCATTTCTTTTTCTGCAAACCCAAGATAGTGAAGCTCTTCACCATTATGCTTACCAAAGTCCTGCTTATCCTCCAAGGTTTGACTCCTTCTCAAACATAAGGAATTAGTCTCACCCTTCTGTGTCCTCCCAGAACTTGCTACACAACTTATTCATAGCTGTTGACCATCCTACACCATGAGAAATACACATATTCCCATCTCCAGACCAAGAATACAGATTGCAAGACAACCCAGATCACATTCATTCTTGTATTTCTACAGTTTAGAAAAGTACATGGCATTTATGTGGTACTTAATGAGTTAAATACTGGGCCACAATAAATGTTTGAGGTGATGGATATCACTGGACTTGATCATTACACATTGTATGCTTCTATCACAGTAGCATATGTACCCCATAAATACGTACAACTATATATTCATAAGAATTAAAAATATCACTTTTAAAAGTAATATTTTGCATTTTGGGGTTTTCCCTTTAGAGAAAAAAAATGGGCCATGAATTGTTTTTAATCACGGT